TGGTTGTTTAATAAAATTAATTCTTCTTTTTGTTTGATAGATGACTTTTGAAATACTTTGTATATTAAACGGTATAATATTATATTATCATATGAGATATATGTGTGAATTGTTCGTTCAGTGAAACAATTATTTCTAATGTTAGAGTAAATTCATTGAATTATTTATGTTTTTACTCATTTATTGTTAAACGTATGTATGTTAAAGTTTTCTATTGATCGGGGGACGCTTTTTAATGTTAGTTTTTTTAGTGTTTGATATTTGATATAACTGTGAAGGGGGTGGTTTAATTTTGAATTACATTTTATCTCCAAGGATGATATAATTATTTTTCATTTATTTTGATATTCTTACGATATTCGTTGTATTTAAAAAAAAAAATTCAAGTTATATGAATTACAGTTATAACATGTAAATTGGTAGAAAATTTTTTTTAGATATTGTATTAATTTTTATTTATAATTTAATGGAACAGTTAAAAGATTTTTAATTTATATAAACATGTACTGAAATTCAAACTTAAAAAAAAAAAAGGGAAAAAAACCCGAAATATTTAAATTAGTTTTAACTGTGTGCTCTTACTTCTAACGTATGATTTTATTCCACAATTTTTGTACTTCTTCTTATAATAATTTACTTTTGATAGATCATTCTAATCTCTTTTGCTACGCTTGTCAAGCCATCTGTTAATGTACTTCCCTATTATTCCATTCGAATATTATTTCGTCGTTATCCACTTATTTTTTCTAACTTTTTATTCTTTTTTTATCTAAATAAATAAATAAATAAGTAAATAAATAAATAAATAAACCGTGTATATATTAAATCAGTCGATAAGCCAATATGTTCCCAACAACGATATAGTCATACGTATATAATTTCATTGAAATTTTACAAATAATACGACAAGTTAAATTTTGTGAAGTCTCGGAATAGAGACATCAAATATTACTTTCGAATCACGAAAGTCACGCTTTTAAGAAATAATAAAAAGCATCTTTAGTTTACGATCGAGAAATAGGAAATCACCGGCGCCTATTATATTACAACTTGAACATTCTGGTATCCTTCGTTGGCGTAAGGATACGTTGAATGCTGGATGCATATCAATCCATGCTACGTCTTATAATTCACTTTCCACACTCCGACTCGTTTTTCTTCGTATCTTTTTTCCTTTTCCACAAACACACACACACACACACACACACATTTTTTCTATCTCTTTTTGTATTTTTTTTTGTTTTTTTTTTTTTTTTCGTTGTTTTTCTCGTCGGCATCTCTCGGTAGCCGGAGATGCGCTTCCTTTCTATGTCCGACGCATCCTTGCTACTCTTCCTGTCTATCCTTCTCTTTACATTTCAATCGATCTTACATTAGTAAATAGCTTCTCACGAGAGGGTGGTAAAGAGGAGGGAGGGTATCCAGTACGTAACGTGCATCGAAAGATTTCTTATTCGAGAAATCATTCTTAATCTATCTCTATTAACGAAGAATGTAAAATCTAATCGAGTTGTTGAACTCTAACAAGTCAATTAATTTTTATGTATTTACGAAAGAAAACAAGAATATTAAATATCAATCACCATGTGAGGGATCGAAGTGTCTTATGGTAGATATTTAAGAAACGAGATACAAAATTTAATGTTCTCATTGCATACAAAAATATTATTATTATATATGTTACTGTCAAAACCAGAAATCAGTCATCGCTAGTAATTCCTCGGCATTGTTATCAATGC